TCGAAACTCTCAAAATACTTTGGATTCTGTCTTCTTCTGGGACGGTTTTCGGAGCGCGTTAAACACTTGTTTCAATTTCGAAGCAAGGAAATGGTTGGGGAGGTTTAGCGAAAAATTTGGAAGGCACAGAGGGACGGACGAGGTTTTCGTCGAATTTTTTTTGGAAAATTAAAAGGAAAACGAGGTAAGTTTCAACGACACTTATATATTCGAATTAAGGCAACGGGCACGAGGCCAATTCGTGAAGTAAGCTCGAAAGGTAAAGCGAATTTCGAGGATTGACATTTATTTATTTTCGTCTTAGAATTGTTTAATTCCGAATTGAAAAGATCACAGTTTCGTTAAGGCTCTGACCGACAGTTTACGGGCCACGAGGGACCCGTAGAGAGTCGCGAAAGGTGAGAGAAAGCGTTGCTTATTGTCACGAGTTCGAATTTGGACGGCAATTTAAGGCACAAGAGATGTTTTTCGGACGCGACAGCCCTGCATTGTGTACCAATTACCAACTAAAAACAACACGAGAACGAGAAAGTCTCCTTGAAACGAACGAACCGACGCAAACTTTGTCGCGGGAAAGGAACAGACCTTTGGAAAACATTGGAAAATACCGTGTACACGCGTAACAAATAATAAACCAAATTTCTAACAAGAGTCGAAGACTGTCGACAAGAAAGAAAACTAAAAACAAGAGGAAACTTATTACCTGAAACTGACAGCAAGACCGAAGAAGAACCAGCCAGGACAGAATGTTCCAGCAGGTGACGGTGTCGAAAGAAAGGGATGATCGAGTAAAAAAAAACCCGTAGAGAACGTTTCACCCCCGGTCGAAGAATTTGGAGAACAAACTGTCGACGCTCGACGAAAAGGAAACGAACTGAATGGACTCGTGAACTTGTGGCTTGTAATTCGGATGCACAGGATCGCCTTCTACCAAGGGTAAATCGGCCCCAGAGGGAAATGATACGCGAGAACGCGTAGCTGAGTCGAACATAGGATGAAGATCGAAAACGGACTTGGTACTGGTGATGCTGGTGTGTCGAGGGTACGATGCAAGGACGAGGACTGGGATGAACAAGGATGTTACCCCGACGGCTGTCGCCAAAGAAGTGATAGGACTGCGGCCTTGCGCGTGGTACCTAAACCAAAGACACCACCGGAGGATGCACATGCGCTGATACACCCCTGTGAACCCGCCACAGGGATTGGTCAAAGCTAATGGTGGTAGTTGTCCTTCTACCCCCACCGTCGCCACTCGCATCTTGCAACCCCTCTCGAGTATCATGGCACACGCACACGCACGCACACGCACCCCGGAATAATTCATCTGTTGAAATTTGAGTTAATAGCAGTTGTCTTTCGACGCTATATTCTTCCTTTTGTTAGACAAAAATTAGTCGGTTTCAAACAATTCAATTAATAACTTGATTGGTGGCGGGGGAACACTTTGTCTCGCGCTACCACTTTTTTTAATACAAAATATAGCAATTTTGAGTCTAGCAATCCAATGGGAATTTTACTAAATCCTAATAAACCCTAATAAAAAACTGAATATAAAACGTTTCTCGAATCTAGGATAACTAAAGGAAAGAGGGAACAACGGAGATCATGCAACTTTTCGTTGGGTGTACCCATCCATCCAATTAATCTCTCGTCGATCACGAGCCGGGTTTGGGAGCGTGGGTCGACAGGAAATTTTCATAACAATTTCCGTAATTTTCTTGGGGTCGAATTTAAACAAGCAGGCGCACAAAAGGTCCGACGAAAATCGAGCCCTATCAGACGAGAGGGCGCAAACGGATGGTAATGCGAGTCCACGGGAGGGAGATCGCCTGCCGGGGGGTGGGAGAGTGTCACTCAGGAGCACGACGTGTAAGAGAATGGTCACCATCCCGGGGGGTGAATTGAGATGTACAGGCAATTTATGCAGCGGCACTTTCATTCGGAAAGTCAGGGAGCTGACCATGAATGCTTGCAAAACAGCACGGTGATGATAACACCTTGCTTCCTGTTCAGGAGACGACGCGATCCCCGAAAATCTATTTAGTTTTCTTTGCCAATTTATCTTCGATTCCTCTATTACCTCACAAATTGTACGATTCTCTTAGATCTGTTCTAGCAATTGCTGCAATCACCCTTAAGAAGTATTAATTACTCAAATCATGCAATATTAAATTCCTGAATTATGGAAAAAATTAATTACAAAAATTCGTTGTGTATGATATTTGAAAAAAATGTTATTCTTAATTCTCGATCTATCAATAGCGATTATTACCATTGTCCGCTACTGCCAAATCCACACCCCTTTAGTCTCGAATATTCTTAGACCGTGACGTAAACGATTTGAAAGATATTATTGTTTCATTTAATGGGAACATAAAATTGGTTCTACGTCGATTCCACAAATTTTCTCTCATTTATTAAGTGGTTTAGACGAAAGCCAGTGAAGTGTCATGGTACGAGGGATGATTCACCCTTCTAGGACAAAAATGAATTAGTTCCGGAGAAGAGAGAAGATTGAAGAGTGAACCGGTGTAATATTCTCTTTGAATGGAGTGAACTCTGTTCCATCTCCTCCTTGTAAGAAAATACTGAATCGTCGTTAGATTCTCAGCGGCGAGGAAACTATCACGGAAATATTATTTGTAAATAAAATATAAAATGAAGCTCATTTCTATTCTGATTTGTGAGAAAATTCCAAAGATCTGCCACGTTTAACGCTAAACTTCTGTACGAGTGTTGATAAGATTATGAAATAAGTATGCAAACAAAACTCCATCGCCAAATCTTCGTTTCGAACATAATAATTGGTCCAATGGGAACAGTTTTCGAAGATATATAAAATTTCTAATCTCTTTACTGTTTAGAAACTGTTCTACGAAATCAATTTTCGCGTGTAATGTCCAGGTAGTATCGGTTTGAATAAATCAGGACTTCGTCTTCTGTTATTGCGGTACTATTCGACGGAAAGCAACCGATATAAAATCCTTATTAATTCTGAAAAAGAAAGAAAAAAACAGAAACATGAGAAATGGCCGTCGAAACGTTTTTGAGAAAGCCACGTGGCGAATCGAGACAATTGCAAAACACGACAAGGGTGGATATGGTTTATTCTGTTACACGGGGAAGCATGGGGGATAAGAGGCAGGGGGAAAAGGAACATACCGGGTGGTTTCCTTCGGGGACAAGGCTAAGAACCCCGCTGCGAGTGTCCCTTTTCCTCGGTTTTTGTTCACTCCTTCCGTCCCTCTTATTTTCTCGATTGGACTGTCCCTCTCGGAGCCATCAAGCCTTATCGTGGTAGCGTCAATCACTCTCTTCGTATACGGTCAAACTTATCGTTCGATTAATCGCACTGACAATGCGCCTGTCGATCCAAGTTACCGCCGCCCCAAATCCATATGGCCGACTCTCGATGCAAAATTTCGTTCCACGCATCTTTCTCAAGTGCAAATCGCGCGCGCAAAAATCACAAAATTCACGAAATTACTCGCAACCCGACGAACCAACCGAAAATCTCCGGAAAAGTCTGTCCGTCCGTTCGTTTCGAATTAACTAAAAAATTTATCGAACTAACTTGCGTTAATTATATCGAAATACGAATCGCTGTACATTGTCGGAAAAGAATATATTTGAAGCGAGTGTCGTCGAATACCGTCGAAAATATGCAGGAATTTCTCTATTTTCGAATTCTCTGGCGAAAGAGGTCGGCGAGAGTTTGACAAGCGAAAAATCGTAAAAAAGAAGGGCGAGGCGGTGACAAGGTCTCAGGGTCACGTAAACTCAGCATCCTAACTTCCGGCCTCGTTGTCAGCGAAACCGGAAGCGTCGTAAGGATCAGACATGGCGCGGTGCTTGTTTGTTGGTAAACGACTTCGTACCAACAGCTCGTATAGTCGCCGCCAAAATGTCTGAGCTATTGCTATTGGCTGCACGTTTAACCCCGTCGAAATTCGCGAATCGTGGGCGGTGTCCTCGCTCGCGATAAATCAATGTGTTCGCGGTTGTCAAAAATTACGAAATACCGTGAAACTCGATACTTTTTCTCCATTTGTTATCAATAACTAAGTAAAACATTTCAGTGGATTATTTCTTTTTAAGACCCTAAGCATGTGACAAGAAATGTGATAAAATAAAAATGTGACTCTTCTCCTAAGTACAGTAGTGCTACAATTCAGTTTAACGGCTATATGACTCACGATCGAATATTAAAGGAAGCTGTAAGTCTGCTATAGTAGTAGGCGACACACGATCGAAACGAATGCAACTGCAACGAAAGCTGCAGGTTGACAGATGCGTAGATTGCACCAGCCAGAAACCGGGGAATAAAGATAACTTAACGAGATACGGAATGAATCAGTCGATAGAGATCTTCGACTTTTGTCGTCGTTCGCGATGGGTCATTGGAGGAAGATCTACTTGATTTATAGAAACCGCCATGTGGAGAATTTAGATACTACGATTAGACGTGGTACTTTTCCAACGAACCTTTGCCTGGAAACATTCAACGAGATAAATATTTTAACTGAAATTACGTGCAACGCTAGTACACGCTCGAGCAGAGTTATCGAGGACCCCCATCGACCATAAACGGGGTCTGAAGATGCATCGTCCCCGTCCCTGGCTCATCACGAGATGCCTATTCAAATTTAACGGCCTATATTTGTCGCAATTAAGTATCGCGTTTTCGGGGCTTATGAACCAGAAGTATTCCATATAGCGCGATGGAAGCGTTCAGGGGGAGGTGGGGGAGGTCTCGTGGACGAAGGATAAATTTGTAGACTGGGCTCGGGACAAGTTCCGGAGGGGTAAGTTTATGGCACCGCGGGGTTAGTAGATACTTTCACGATTCGTCTGACTCATAGAAAAGGAGAGAAAAAGGAATAAAACGGGCGCGAGAAGAGGTGCAGAAGGGTGCAGTTTTACGAGGATCCTGACGAAAGACCGAGTCCTGAATGCGATTTGCAAATCGGAAGCGGGACACTCGAACGACTCGTACTTACAGCTTCGTCGTTTCTTTCTTATGCCGCAGTCCTTCGTGTCCCTCGTGTGTGCGCGTGTGTGTGCGTGGTAGGAATTGCAGCTCGTTCGTTCTCAGCTCGTTCCTCAGGCCTTTCTGGAAACTGACGAAGGTAAATCGAATTATGCGTTGCTTTCAGACACGTTTGCTTATAAATAAACATCGCTCTCATTGTGGGGACAATCTCTATAAAAATATATTTCTGAAAAATTAAAATAATATGATAATATTACCAAGGAAAGCAATTGTATATCAAAATTTGAAATTCTATGAATATTTGCCGCCAGAGATTCTATCCTTTTGGATACCCGTTGCGGAAGAATGCAGCGAAGCCACACAGAGAAAGTGGCTCTATTCTGTCGCGGAAACGATCAGGGAGGCCTAGAGTAACGATCCAAGCGAAGGATCTGAGAATAAAAGTGACGTCTAAGAGAGGTAGACGGCAAATATGAATACTACTCGAGGAACTTCATTATCCGTGAACACCGTAAAGCGTAGATTAGCAGCTGCATGGTCGAGTTGCAGCATGGAAACCGCTCGCGAGGACGCGAAATAAAGAGAAGCGACTTGCAAGCGAGCATTAGACTTTAGAAATATGGAAAAATGTTTTATGGAGTGACGGAGTCGATGTTACAGTTCTTTGGTACAGACTAGACGCGACAACGAACAAACGCTGCAACGATGATCGTACTTAAAATTAAGCACGGCGGGAATTCCACCCTCGTTTCGAATCTTCCTAGTAAATATTTAATAAAAAACAAGAAGAACAATTAATCATCCAATAATGGTAGAAATTCGATGTTAAAAAGAAAAGAAAGCGTCCGTCGGCCTACGTATAAAAATAAATTCCATCACTCATTTCGAGTAATCGATCCATCGCGCGCGGTTCGTTAGATTTGAAATTCAAAGCTGCCGCGCGACGCGCGACGCGCGAACAAATGCGGCCAGAATTTGAATAACAGATGCAGGAGGCATTAAATTATTCCCGACGGGAGCAAAGGGAACGTGAAACCATATTTAGAAGAATACGAGCATTGCAACGGGCGGGCATTAGAGTAAACGAAATTCGTTTCCGGTGGACATCGATAGTTTTCGAGCGCGACGTCGCGGCACGTGACAGAGGGAGGAATGAAAGGAGCAAAAAGTATCAAACCCGAGAGTTTGCGGATCGGCTGAAATGTCAGAGGGCCAGAAAACTCCATTTTCGCGAGGGGATGGACAACAGGCGAGACGGCGCCACCGAGATTTTCGCAAAATTCAGAATGTTCGAGCAAATCCGGAACACAGAAAGAAAACGGGAATAGCGCTATTAGCAGGCAATCATGGATTATTTTTTATAGTTTTCGTAAGAATTAATAATCTTTTCTACTTAATCATTAATAGTACCTATTTTTCGTTTTACTGTTTTGAAACAGGAAACGAGAACATCTATAATCAACAGAAATAAGAAAATCAAGCTTTGGTAGGATAATCAGGGCGCGAATACCGCTGCGAAACTCATCCGGATTGCAACGAGAGCAAAGAGTAGCGGAGGAAATAATAACAAGTTATGTAACGGTATGTAAAGCTCGAGAAGAGCAACGTAAACGCGTTGCAAATAATAATTGAAAGTAATTTTCGAAGCTGGGTCAGAGAATCACGGAGAAAGGTAAATAAATTTTTCGAAAAATGCTGTAGAAAAGGGGAGCGAAGGAGGCCAAGAGCAACAAGAAGTCCGCGTAAAAGTAAATTAAAGAAAAAGCAGGTAAAAGGTAAAAAAAAAAAGGAGAGGAAAGGCCGCGGGTGAAAAGGATAAATAAAAAGCAAAGGGATAAAATAGAGACGAAAGTAGAAAAGAGTTTAAAGAAAGCACGGGGAACAGACAAAGAGGGAAGGACGAGAGAATGGCGAGGAGAAGAGGGAGGAGAAGAGCTCAAGAGAGTCGAGAGGGGTGGGTGCTGGCGGCGTTATGACGGGCGCCGGGGGTGGCGCCGCGACGCTTTGGCGCCTCCAACGCCGAGACGCTCCAGTGATGTTGGCTCCATATACCTACACATCTATACCCGTCCGTCGTTCTCCCTCTTCCATGATATTCACGTACACGTAACTACGCGGTCGCAATGACAGTTCGAGATTCTATTCCCAAAGCGTGTACGCGTGCATTTCCTTGTCCTTTCCTCCCCCCCCCATCCACCCCCGTTTCCCCTTTCTGCATTCGCGGACCCGTTATAGGATTAAGAAAACCGAAATTCATGCTCGATCTCGAACCGGAAAGGTCAACTTGTCGCCAAGGTGCGTCTTTGGCTCGAGGGTGTGGCCACGTTTCGAATCCTTTTATTCATCGAATCTACTTTTTTTGCAAAGTTACGATGGTTACGACAGTGCAAAGGACGAATTTTCCCATCAACGAGACGAACCAGGAAGTTCCTCGAGGGAGCTGGGCATTTTAATTCGAACCGATCGCGCGGAAGAAGTCTTTATACGCGGTAAACAGTGGTTAATTAATTCAAAGCTAACTAGATTTAAAGTAAATATACTAACTCGCAGAACAAATGTGCTTCACAGTGATAAAATCATATTTTGAGAAATCAAGAGAAACTGAATGTAACAAGCTGCAAATTCTAATGCAAAACTATCTGCAACAGTTAATTTGTGGAAAGAAAAATTTGTGATCGTTTGTCATAGTATTACAGATAAGTTTCTCTCGCTGGAGGGAATGCAACGGAGACTCGTAGGCGCTGCAAGGGGAACAATTTATTTAGTTTAAATATCATAAATGGATATCCTTTATGCTTCGGAAGATAAATCGTAAATTGTATTTACCTATTACAGACTACAGCGTCGTATTATCTACGAGCGGCTAGGATGGATAGGAGTACTTAATATTGATGCATCCTGCAGATTGAGCGTTTAATCGATAAGGTTTTACGCTGAAGTGATGCTCCAATACTCGAGCGGGAATTAGCATTAATGATAGCTCATACAGAGCCCCATGCTCGTGTTTATTAGAATTTCTGTAAAATTTTGCTCGACTCGATTTCATTTTATATCTTATTTATCGCGAGCAAAGGAAATATTAATCCCGAGTCGACGTTAGATAAAACGTAAGAGACAAATATGTATAACAGTAAAACCTAACCCAGATCACCGAACTCATAACACGTAATCTCATAATAGCCATGTTGCACACGTACCGCCATTATGGAAGAATCGTAACGGCTGTAAATCCGATCAATCAGCACGTCCTGTTCCATCAACCCCACAGCACCCTTCTGCCCGATTCCCAACCCCCTTCCCAAATGTCTTGCACGTTTCCGCGAAATTTTGCGATTAATGGTTTGGCCTCAACGGAGATCAATAAACGATCTCGTCTAAACTTCGTCGCTTCGCTGTTGATCCTAGTCGTCATCGTTCGCGAGATCAACTCCCCTTTGTGAAAATTGAACCGCGAAAAGCAGGAGTTTTGTAGAAAAGTGAAGAGCAATATTTGAAGCATAAAAGAAGGTTTCTTTATAGAACAATTTAATAAAAAATAAAAATGTATTTTAATATAAACACTCGACTGTTAAAATCAACAAATTGTAAATTGTTGGGGATGTTGGTGAAGGAAGAAAAGGATACCATGACAAACCCATCTGAAATATGTAAATCTTTAATCGCCTCGATAAATGCTAAAATATCCTTTTGAATTATAAATGCATTTGTACCGATTCCACGTAGATTATTATCCTTTTCGGAGTCCATAAGCTCTAAATATGTTATAATAACATAGACAGGAAATGAAATGTCGAAGTACGATACTAAATTTCGAAAAAGGTATATACCTGTGTTCTGAAACCGATATCGAGGAAAATACTGAGAAACACGAGATTTCGAGAACTATCTTCTGACAAGAATCACGATGTAGGACGTTCCGATGATCCGACTAAAAGGGAGTTTTTCATAGAACCGAAACATAAGCCGATACGTTCTACCCTGATCTTAACGCACTAAAATCTTCTAATAAGTTGAATAAACATGGAATCATTGTTATTTTTATACGTAGCACGCGTACGTCCATTGAATCGATGACACGAGATGGAAGTGCCCCGGCTGAATGTACGGATAGTCCATTAGATGCGTTGTAACCTAGAACTGTGCAAACAAGGGTGATCTTGGATTAAATGTGACAGGCGGATGAACCGCTAGGGTGGATGAGCAGTTCGCTAAGAAAATTGAGATAAGACACATGACAGAGCAGGTGAGCATGACAGAAATTAAGAAATCTCATGGGCGAAAAATGTTGGCGGTGAAAGTGATTTTCCAAGCTTTTTATCTCTTTCTGCCACCCTTCGCTTCAAATAACCAAGTAGTAATATTCACTTTGCGCAAATTAATACGGATACTTGTATTTGTAATCGTGAAATTGTTCGAGCAAAAAATGGCTACTCGAATACAGAAACGAGTGAATGTATTAAAATTGTAGGGTAGCTTCCAACCTCTGCTGTTGGTTTTGTCATGTATGAAGCGAACCGCACTTACCGCGAAAAGCCCCCGTGTAATTTATGTAACAACGCGAATAAAAAATGCGAAAAATCGAAAGCAGATGTTGCCTGACAACAAGGAGTTTATGAAGCAGAAGTAAAAGGAAAGTAAATCGACAAGGGACGCAGAAGACTTGTCATTCATTTCCATTCATTTCCATACAACGTAAATACGGAACGTCGAACATTTCTTATAGAAAATATTTCTATATATTTCGCGCAAATTTTTTAAACGATAAATACATAATAAAATAAATCTATCTCTTAAACGTATACATATGATTTACTAACATCCTATATTCAATGGAACATTATAACGTATCGATATCACGTATACGTGTGATGTAATTCGCGTTAATCAAGGCTGAATTTAATAAGTACACGATTGATTCCAACTCGGTTTCAATGTCGTTCACCAATCATCATGGTGATCTCATAACGAAGTCGTTTGTTTCCTTTGAGACAGCCTAAAAAAAGAAGCAAATTTGACGAGGAAAAGATGGAAGCAAATGACCGTGAAAATTGCATGATTATTCGTAATTGACGCGACCCTTCGTACGGAAAGTATAAAAATATTTCGCGTTCGCATCGACGCTCACGG